TCAAGCTCTGAGAATCAGTTCACACTAACTAAATGTATAAGCCAGGGCTCCTCTACTCAACACAGGGGTGACATACCAGCCATGATTATATTACCATTCATTTGTACAAACAACGCTTTCCAGGTGATGACATCCATTCAGGACATGAAATTACAGATCAGAAAGTTACTTAGTGAATATAGAATTAAAACAGAAGTAGTTGGAGAGTCTTAAGGGATATTTCCATCAAACTATGGTTGTTTCAGGAATTGCCTTTTTCCATTTTCAGGACATTAAATTGGAGGATCTTTTATCCTAGACTATGCTTGAAACATACTGACAAATTCTTATTCTTTGTCTCTTTTTTTTCCAAGACTTTTTAAACTCCCTTTTTAGACTCTATGCAGACCACCAATATAATTAATTGGATCATAATTTATCATACATTAGTTTCATTTTAGTCTTCCTGATGACACATGGAAACCCCCAATTTTCTTTGATGAAATCTGTGACACATTAACCTTCTTGATAAGGACACTTCGATAATACTTGGGAAACATACTAGTTTGAACAAATAACATATATATATATATATATATATATATATATATACCTTCTCTAAGTATGTCATTTTTTAAAAAAAACTCGTCCACAAATTCTCAGGGTCTATCATACATAGGGTTTGCTTCCCTTGTGACCTGTTTATGCCTAGAAAATATCCTAAGACTATTTTAAGAGAATACATTATTAAATTGGTTGAGCTAATAGTACTCTATGACCATTAACTCATTGACCTTTATAACGCTATAGCAGAGATGTAGGAAAATGTATTTTTACACCCATATGTAGATTAGATGGTAACCTGCTGGAAGTTTCAGTAAAAAAAAATGTGGATAATCTTACTTTTAGAACTCTAATGCCTACATAACAATTTGCCTATTTGATTTATAGTTTTCATTTGACCCAATTGAAATTTAAAATTGAATATTAGTGTAAGGATACTAGAAAAGTGATTTTAAAATATTTATTATTTGATAAAGCTGAGTTCTATTTACTGGTAGAGAAAGAACTAAAAAAAAAAAACCCACAGCATTACAAACTACATTATAGAGGTGCTTCTAGCATGGTTCATTTACTAGAGTGTTTTGGATAACCTGAAGAATTTAGGAGACCTTAGTTTGAGGTCTTGCCCTGCCTCTTACTTAGCTGTGTGACCTTGGATAAAGCACTTATACTCTCTAGACCTCTGTTTCATCGGTTATAAAAATAAGGAAGTTAGAGCAGATGATCTATAAAGTGCCTTTCAGTTTTCAAATTCTGCCAGTGTCTTTGGGTAGTAGTATCACAGATATGAAAACATGGGTTTTAGTCCCTTTAAAAACAGGCCGCCCCCCCCTTTGGGGCAGTGGATAGAGCACCAGCCTTGGATTCAGGAGGACCTAAGTTCAAATCTGGTCTCAGACACATAACACTTACTAGCTGTGTGACCCTGGGCCAGTCACTTAACCTCATTGCCTAGCCAAAAAAAGTATATGTAACCTCATTTCAGTAATTATTATTATTCCACTATTTACCTTCCCAACTAAATTTCTTAGACTTTGGTAGTTTCTTGGCTCAGGCTTATTTATAAAGCTGGAAGGTATTCTATTTTTATTATAATGTTTCTAGCTTAAAAAAAGAAAAGGAAATATGAATGCATGACTAATTTTCAGTTATTTATAAAGTATTTCTTGCTAGATTAAGAAATGTAGATAAGGTTAAACTAAAAATTAAGAGTACTTAATGATAAAAACCTACATTAAGTTAATGTTTTTAATTCATTCTTATAATTCTGGTTTACCATTTTTTACAATGTCACGTTATCAAATTAATAGACAAATTAAAGAATTAGGTCTTTAAAAATATGGGTTCTTGGTTTGAGGCTTAACCTATTAAACCATGTTGCCTCAAAAAAAAAAACACAGATATGAGAGATAGGACATTAGTCATATCACCCTTTGGAAGGTTGGAGTTCTTGCACTGTGTGATGTTACAGTGACTAAAGAGATTGTACTGATGGCAATTCAATTCAATTCCATTCAGTATATGTACATTTATTAACCATCTAGTAGTATATGCAAGGGACCGTTTCAGGGAAGGGTTAACAGGCCAATAAGAACTTTATAACATGTAATTTTCACTTTCATCCTATAATGGGACTGTGATTTCCAGTGTGGGAACTCTCCCCAACAATACAGATCAGGACTAACTAGACATAGTTCCTGCCCTGTAGCTCCTGTCCATGTTCTGCCTGAATTCCTCTACTTGGGTTTCTCCCAGCACCTCTAGCTGTAAGGGGCAAGTCACTTAATTCTCTGGGGTTTTCTCAATTTAACTCAGTTTTCTCACTGTGAAATGTGGGTAATTAAGTTTGGCTTTGTAAGGAAAGAGCTTCATAAACTATAGCCATTTAAATGTAAATTATTATGTTGCATTCTAGGCAACTCACAACCTCACTTTATTTTGAGTCCTCATCTGGAAAAGACAGTAGTAAAAATTATTTCCTACCCATCTCAGGGTATTGGTTTAAGATTAATAAATTAGAGGGAAAATATATACATAAAGCTATGTAAGTTCCTTGGAAATAAGCCTATATGAAGGAAAAAAATGTATTGTTATTCAGATATTGTTATATCTTTGTAGGTAAATATCAGATATGCAATAAGTAATATTTGACTTTATTCAAGATGATTCAAAAATGGGAACTCAATTAATTTTTTTTGTTGTATTTCCATGGAGAAGCAGCAGCTTGGCTTAGTGGATGGAGAGGCTGAGCCTGATAGTGAGGAGGACCTATGTTAAAGACTTGCCCATTAAATAAACATTATTGACAGCAGTGACCCTGGTGCAAGTCACAACTTCTCAGTGCACCTTTCTAGGACCAAAAGTATAAAGTGGTTGTCTGTATTGGAGTTCCTGGCCACCTAAATGCCTTAGGGCCTGTTGCTCTCCAAGACCTACTTTAATGGAGAACTGAAGGTCAAGCTCTGTGACTTCGGGCAGAGATTGTGTGTCAGGCCTATCACCACAAAACTTCCAGGTCACGTCCATGATATGAGCCTTCTCTTTTCCCATTTTAATTCTAACTCTGAGAACAGTAATGGGTAGGTGACATGGAGATGACAGGGTAAGGATATCTCAATCAGTCTTTGACGTCCTTCCAAAATTATGTGGTGTAAGCGATGTTCAGGGAGGACTAGCATCTCTGGTGTGAGGGCTGCTCATCCACCTTTGGTGCCCACCTGTCACCCAGCTCTCACCCATGGCGCCAAGAAACTGTAGCCATAGTGTTGTAAAACTGTCTCTGCAGACAAGCAGCCCTCCAGGCTGAGGGCAATGGACAGGCCTCAAACCCATCTGTGAGTTAGGGGGACATCTACCCCAAGCATGTCCAGTTGGAATGGGTGGATGAGCACAATTTGTTCCAATGGTCATGAAAGCAACCCAGGAGCCTAGAGTTTGGTCAGAAATTGAAGAAGCAGGTTACCCACCGCATCCTGGGCCATCTTGACTTCTGTTTGCCACTGGACTTTACATGACTCTGCAAGAGTGAGGTTGGTAACTTTGTGCAACTCTGCCTCACTTAAATCTAGTTCACCCACAAATCAAGACACAACCTGTGATGTCATTTTCAGAAATGAAGGACAAACACTGCGCTTAAAATACTTGTTGACTGTCCCCACTGCCATGTAAGGGTTGTTTTGTCCCAGGTTAGAATGTAAGCTCCGTGAGGGCAAGAACTTCTCCCACTAGTCAGTGTTTGTAATCCCCACGCTTTAAGCAAAGTACCCAGCACCCAGTAAGCTGCTAAGAAATGCTTTTGCTTTTACTCATTCATACACCAGTGAAACCACAGGTCCAGACTAGTGTAAACCCCCCCCCCAAAAAAAAAGCATTGAGTTTAACAAGCAGCTAATTTTGGTTCCCCCAGGAATGGCTTTTCAGAGTAACCCGTTCGGGTCTACCTATTTCGAGAAGTGGTTTCTACAACTCAGCGTCTGTTAAAAGCACATTTAGCATGAGAACGAGAGCACATCAAACGTCAGAAGCCTTTTGCTTCTCTGGCATCTGGGGGCTTCTGGAGCGCAGAGCAAGGGCCCAGGCAGGTCCCTGAGGGGGCCGAAGGGGGTCTGCTGGAGACGTTCAGCCCCGGGGCTCCCTCCCCTCCCCCATGGAAGGGCCTCCTTCGGCCCGGCTCTGCGGACAGCGTCGTCTGTCCGTCGGGGCGGTCTCACGGCCTCATTCAGGGGTTTCCTGCCTAGCCGGGATTTTGGGGGTGAGAAGTGTTTTTGAAGCACGGTTCTGGGCAGGCCGAAGCCTCGAGGCCCCGTTCTTCCGGCGCCAGGGCCTCGTTGGGCCTCCCCGGCAGCTGCGGGTGGGGCCTGGTTCTAGGGGCCGTTACTGGGGGAGGTGGGGAAGAGTGCGCGCTCACAAAGCTGCACTGTGACACGCACCGGCCATGCCCGCGTACTCGGCAGCGCGCAGGGAGCCATACCCGGGGCGCAGTCTATGACCGAGGTGGTGATGTGCACATCGCCTCCGCTGAACCCCCCCACAGCGACCGCCAAACCCGGTAGGGGAGCAAGGGGGCTGGGCTCCCTCTCGGGCCCTGGCGAGGAAGGACCGGCCGCCGGGAAGGGCGGGCGGGCCGCAGGGCAGAGCGGACCCCCGGGGCGAGGCTGGGACTCCACACACCGCCACGCCATAGCCGATCCCAAATGGGAACTGACTGAGCCAGGGACTGGAGCCGGACAGTAGGGGGCTGAGGGGAAGGCGGGAAAGAGAAAGGGGAGGGGCTGAGCCGCGGTGGAGGAAGGCGTTGGGGGGCCCCCCCTCCTTTCCCTGCGGACGGCGCTGATTGGTCCTCCGCAATCCGGGCGCTGATTGGCCGCGTGGGCGAGGCGGAGGGGCCGTGCGCAACGGCGTGTGTGGGGCCGTGTGCAGACCCGCGTGTGGCGCAGGCTAGGACCCCGAAAATAAACAGCCGCTGCCGCCGCCGCCGTCCCTATACCCTCCTCGGGAGCTGAAGCGTCCGACCCCGCTACCGTCGCGGGCCCTGTTCGACGTCTTAGGTAACCGTCGTCTGTTTTCGGGGAGCGGGGCGGAGGTCGGGCAGGGCCGGGGCCGGGGCGGGCGGGCTGCCCGAGGCCAGCAGGGGAAGCGGCTGCGGCGGGTGGGGGGGGTGCGCTGAGGCGGCAGCGATGGCGGCCGAGCCTGGCCCGCCGCCGCCGCCGCCGCCGCCGCTGCTGCGTCAGGCGGGAAGCCGTGCAGCCGCCGCTGGCGCCCTCCCCGGCTCCGGCCCCGCGGCGGCGGCGGTGCAAGGGCGACCTTTCGCCCTTCGGGCGGTGGGGCCCGGGCTCAGGCCCCGAGTCTCCGGGCCGCCAGAGCGCGGGGTCGCCGACGACGAAAAGAGTCTCTCAGGCTCTCGGGGCGGCCGCGGCCGCGTCCCTGGGGGGAACAAGGGAGGCCCGGCCGCTGCGGTGGCGGGGAGCCTGCGGGAAGGGGGCCATGTGGCAGGGGAAAGTGTCCGGGTGCGGGAGGGGGGGAGGGGGAGGGGTGGAGGCTCTGCGCCAACCATGTGCTCGGGGCGGAGGGGCCCCCGGGCGGAGGGCCATGTGCCTCGATGGGTCTTGGGCGCCCAGTTGACTAGGCCTGTGCTTTTGGAAGTTTGGTCTCCAGGAGGCTTTCTGGTAACTTCATTAGGGCCCTAAGGTTATCAAAAGCAAATGATTTACTTGTTTTTATTGACATAAGGCGAGCGTTTTACAGCTGTCTTCTTTACAACGTAATCCAAGTTCTTTAAACAAGTAAGTTAACCAGAAAACCCCAAAGCCCACCGGTTTTTGCTAGACTAATTAGTCAATTCAAAGAATTTAAGCTTTTTAAAAAAAATTTTCGAAAATTTTAATGTAAATTGGTTTTTAAATGTTTGGATTTTGCAAGAATTTAAAAATGATTTAGTCAGTCTCCATATCCAGTCACAAATGATTTTGGAACTAGATGATCATCCAAATTGAAGTTTTTGAGATTATATTTTGTGTAAAACATAGCCATGTTTTCACATGCTAACCACATGGCCTGAGCTGGAAGGCACTTTTAAAGTAAAATAGCTACATCTGGTCCTGAGGGTCTTAAAAACCTATTTAAATAATTGTAACCTAAATCGGCCGTGACTAAGGCAGTTGGTAGGTAATACTCGATTTTTCCCACCAGGAGGACGATCAGAACAATATAGTATAGATAGTAAGGCAGCTGGAAAAGCTTATTAGGGCATGATTGTATACTTTCATTTACTAGTTTAATTAAAGTTAAACTAAAAGTCGCAGAGTATTAGTATTCTTATTTCTCTGGGTTCCCTAAAACCATATTCTCAATGTCTTTTCCCCCCTTCCCCACCCCCACATCACTGGCCTTTGGCCTATGTGATGTAATGGGGGAGGGGTAAGAGGCTGATATCTGCATCACTTCAAATAGTAATTTATGCTCTTATGAGGTCATCCTTTTTTATTTAAAGCAGGTTTAAAGCTGTTCAGTTTAGAATATATTCCATGAAAATACTGGGTACTAATATATATTCTTCCACACTGAGGGTAACTGTTTTGCAGTATTTTCCATTCATAATATTCTTTTGCATTTTGACAATTTGCAGTAATGAAATTTTCAGCAAGGTATGTAGACTGTGCTTATAAAAAGATTAAGTCAAATCTGTAAAAATATACTATCATGTATGATTATTGGGAAGAGGGGGAAAGATTTTTATTTCAGGTATGAAGTGTGTATGACTTTATTTAAAAATTAAGTGTCCTCTAAATGATATTTAGTGTTCTGCAAAGTACCATTGTCAGTCACATTTTTTACCAGTGGTAGTGGAATCACTGATTGTTGCAGATCTATTCTAAGGAGTTACATTGCATCCCAACTCATTATGCCTAACTATAGATTCACATTTTAACTCGATTCTTGCATGTATTTATTTGGTAAGAGGAGAAATTCATTGGGTTTCTCCCCCAAAAGTGGCTTACTTTTTTAAATCAAAGAGCATAATACTTGTACACTGAAAAAAAAACCATAAAGCCAAATAAAAAATTCCATTTCATCCAAAGTGTTAGTTACATAGTCTTGGAACAATTTTCAAAACTCAGTGTAGTTGACCACTTGTTTAATGTAACCAGTATGGGGTACAAGTAAATTCCATTTCAACAAGGTATGTGGATTTTACTGTATTTCATCTGTATCCTCATACTTTGAAGATTTTAAACCTATATATTTTAAAATTATTAAAGTTTCCTTTGGCTGTCAGGATAAACATTCTGATTTAGTCTACTTAAGTTTTTAAAACATCTTTGCTGTGGAATGGACTACTCATTTTATAGATGGAGAAACAAAGAATGCCCAGTATTTTGATGTAAATAGCTGTTAAAGCAATAAGAGCCCTATGTTATGAAAGCTATTTTTAAAAATAGAACCTTTAAAGCAATTTTAACATTAAATTCTCTTTTAGGACTGGTACCACTCCACATTTTAAAAAAATCTTTGTTAAATCTAATTTCATTTTCTTTATAAAATAAGAGGGTTGGACTAGGTTATTGCCAAAGTTATGTCTAACTCTTAATTGTGGAATTCCTTCATAGAAAACACTGATAAGTATATACTTTTAATAATCTGAACGTAACCTGGCCTGTCTTTTTTTCTCACTTAATGTTATTTCATAACATCATGTCATATTTTCATTTCTCCCTTTTGACAGTTGATATCACTAGGGCTTTAATATTCTGGTACCTCTTGTTTCCCATACCTCTCAAAGCTGTGGAACCTTGGGTAAGACATTTGAACTCTGGAGCCTGATTTCTTATCTCTAAAAATGGGGATGGTACCTTGCTCTACCTTAATCTAAGTCTGAATCCTTCCCTGGGTGCTCCCCCCCTCCATCTCTATTGTCATGTTAATGTGCAGCTGATTTATTTCTGTGGCCATTCTGTTGGACATTTGGGTTGTTGCCAATTTTTCTTTATTTCATGTGGTGTGACTAGAATCAAAGGTTCTACAAGCCCATATAGATTATCTGTAAGATTTTCTTTTAAATAGGGCCTCGCAGTGACTCATTCATTTTTTTTTTAATTATTCATCTCAGTTCTGGGCCAGCACTCATTTTGCAGATAAGGAGAGGCACCTCTTAACAGCACCACTGGCTGTTCATTTTGGGGAGGGTGTTAGGTCCTGGTCTTCTGATGAAGTCAGTTCTTCTTCAGTTACACTACTTCATTTGATCAACCTATCCTATATATAGCAAATTTTCATATTATAAAAGCTGCTTACGTAATTAGTTTATAACTTTATTTACATAAGATAAAGGTGGGGTACCAATTTTGGGGTATGAGCAAACTCTTTAAGTCTTGCTCAGTAGACAGTATCTTTGCTTGATAATTCAATGACCGATTACCTTGTCATTGGCTTTTTATTAGTTGCCTTTTGCCTAGGCTCCTTCATCAGAGGATGGACCAATGAAAAGAAACTTAAAAGACAATTTTGAAAATTTTCATCAAGTTTGGTAAGATTTGAAGGGGAGAAGATTGAAACTATTGGGTAAAATGAAATTTTATAATATTTGGCTTATATTTCTCTGTAATAATGGAACCCATAGGTATTTCTGGTAATTCAGAGTTGACCATAATATATTCTTAAGGATCTTTAAAAGGTAGAGTATGTAATAAATTTACTAATTTTTCCTCTTAAGATGAAAGTAATAAGTTTTTCAGCTGGGAAAGGAACTAATAAATTGAAGGTTAAGATAACCTAATTTGTTTTATACCATTCAAGGAAAATGGCCAGTACTCTAACTTGTAAAAATTGGAAGAGCTGTATATAAATTAAGTGCTTTGACTATACAGATTGAATGAAGCAGAATTTAAAATTATACTGAGACAGTTGGCTCCTAGATGAAAAAGGATACAAATAGTTTTCCTAATTGCCATTATTTATGTGAAAAATCTGGTAAAAAGAAAAGTCAAATTATTTGGGTTTTTTATTCATAAGGTAAGAACCTAATGCCTAGTACATACTCCATATTAAATATAACAGATTTATTTGAATTGCTATGATACTTAGAATATGTCAGAAGTGTTTTATAGTGACATGTGAAAGGCAAAATGTTATAATTTCTTTATAGTTGTGTACCTTCTGGAGTAGAGATAACACCAGGACACATAGTCTTTGTGCCCAACCCCAAGGATAATGTGCTGGCAGAGTAAACCCAAATGGCTTATTTTACTTGTTCAGCTGTGCCTGTTGTACAATTTCAAGAATCTTTGGGGGAAACTAAGATTTTTTTAAATTGCTTTTAAATGCTCAATGTGTAGTAATTATCCTAACAATACGAAAATGCCTCACTTCAAGAAAATGTGGCATAATCTTAAAGCAAAAAAAAAAATGTGCAGCTCTTCAAAGAGCTTCTCTAGAGCACCCCTTTGATCACTGGCCTAATCTAGCTGTGGACAACCTCACTTAGATACATGGAAAAGTAGTAGAGCCTAAGCAGAACTGCCTGTTCCTTTTTCTAAGTTTGTTCGTTGGCTGGATGCCATTGGAAATTATATGTATGTTGACCTATTTGGAGAGTAACAAACATGAAGTCTTTGAATGGTAGGTAAAGAATTCTGTAGGTGTTGGAAGAACTTGGGGCAAGCCTAACTTGCCAGTGTTTGAGGGAGTTTTGCCACAGTGACTTTATTTAATACTTAGCAAATAATGTAATGGCGTATATGCCTGTCATAAAAGGAACTTTTATGGATTTCTGGTTTTCCCTCAAACACTTAGGATTTGACATTCATAGTTAGATTTAGGTTGGATCAGGGCTACTCGACATGCTTGTTCTCCAATCCTGCTTGTTTACAATGCCTTCAGTCTTGTGAGATGCAAAAAAAAAATTTCAAGCACATTTATATATACAAAAAGGATAGTATATTAGACTAGGTGTGACTTAAAATGCAACTAGGATAGGGTATACATGCTATAGGTTAGGAATCAGTCGGTGGTTAGAACGTAGTATTTAAAAAAATAATTGCTGATTTGACAGTCAACAATAAATAACATTTTGTTATCTTTCTAAAATATGTTATTTAGGGGGCAGCTAGGTGGCGCAGTGCATAGAGCACTGGCCCTAAGGTCATGAGGACCTGAATTCTAATGCCGCCTCAGACCACATGCTTGACACTTACTAGCTGTATGACCCTGGGCAAGTCACTTAACCCCAATTACCTAAAAAAACCTTAAAAATAAAATGTTATTTAAAGGTGTCGCCTTTAGAAAGGGAAACTAGATCTGTATGTATCCTAGACAAACGATGTAGGTTTTGAGTATGTTCTTCGAAAGGTCACACGGGATAGATAATGTTTTTAAAAAGTAATATATCAAAAGAGGGGAATTAAGAATCTCCTTTTATCAGAAACTTGTTTTCTAAATTGACTATTGAAAAAGGTAATTTTGTAATTATAAATACAAACTTTCAGCTCTAATGATACATTGTGTATAGGACATTTGAATAGGAATTAAAAAATTTTAAATCTAAAGTCCTGAGTTGAATGGGGTTAATGCTAATCTGCATCAGGGACTTTGTTTTCCTTATTGACATATATGCAAAATTTATAATTTTCCAAATTGTCTTGAAAGAATCAACTGGGCTTCAGTAGTAGAAAGCAAGTAGCCTTGGAGGTCACTAAGAGCTGGGTTTTGAGTCTTGCCTGGCTGTCTTTCCAAAACCTCTCAGTGTGGGAGGTGGGGAGGGTTTCCCTACCCTGAAATCACAGATCAAAAAGTTTGACAAAATGTACTAGAAATTCTTTTTGAGAATTATTGGCATCTCTTGTTTTATCCTCATTTCTGCATATGCCTTTCTACCTTGCAAATTATCCCTTGTAATAATTTTTGAAAGAAAATTTAATTTAAAAATAGCAGTTCAGCAAAACCAGCCAACCCACCAAGTTTGACAGTGTTACTGGGAACTCTTACAAGTTGGTAGAGCGTTCCTACACAGAGAGCTCAGATTAAGTTTTGGCACACGTGCAAGTATTGGATATTGTAAACTGGGGACTAGAGCCACATACAAGAAAGAGCTCACTTGCTGTTCGCTTGCCCACCTTTGCACTTTGAGCAGTGTTGCATTTTATAGCCCCCCCTAGTGGAAAGCTCATAATGTAAAATCTTATTTCCAGCAGAGGAATATAAAACCGTACAAATCAGTGACCAACTTAAAAGTTAAATTCTAATCATATTTTGTGTAAGAGGAGCTCCACTCAGTAAACAGTATCTGAAAAATAGTCACTAAATAGCAGCTTTTTAAATTTTTTTTGGATGGTCATATAATTCCCTGTAGTAAGAGTCTATTATATGCGAATTTTAAATTTGCTTCCTTAACAGCACCATTTTTGTAAGTGCAAGTGTACTCTGGCTTTGTAGATATCCCTATCTCTACCTCATATATAATGGTTTGGTAGGGCTTCAAAGAAATTTTAAGATGAAAGTAGGCAGGCCCTTGTTCCATGAAGTAAAATGGACTTGAACTATTGGTTGTTGATGAGGAAATAAATTAGGTTTGCTGATTTTGATATACAAACATAGTATTTAGTATGCTTGAGGCTTCCTTGTATTAAGCTCCTTGTGCTTCTTGGCTTTGGTCTTGGCGTTTTTACTCAATACATTCTGTAACTGCTTCTTTTCAAAGGCTTTTCATTGTGGCTTGGCACCAAAGTTAAAAGTGTTAAAACTGTATGGGCTAAATGTATACTTGCAGAAACTGGCAGGTACAGAGGTTACTTTGTTTTTGTTTTAGCATGTCTACTTGTGGTTGGGGGAGGCACCCCACATTATAGGATAACACGTCCTGTCAGATTTGTTACTACAAGGAATCTTGAATGAATTGTATTTGTTTTGGTGAAAACATACTCTTATGAGATACATAAAATGCTATCTTTATTGAACATTATCTATTTGTAAGCTTGTTTTTGAAAAACCTAGGAGATACTTAATGCATGCTGTACGTTAGCATTGTTGGGTAAAAAACTTTAAAAACAATTCCTTTTTTTCTGAAAATGACTATTGGCAGAAAGTATGAAGTATGAATAATCAGTAACTGATTCTTCCATTAGAATGACTTAAGATAACTGGACCTTTCAGAATTCTTTCAGTGGTATCAATTCCCAATTAAATATCAATATTAGTACGTTGCGCTTGTGGTTTAATTATTATACTGGCAAATGACAGTAAGTTGTCTAAAATGAGGTTACCATGTTAACCTAAGAAAAATGTTTCAATTTGGAATACAATTAAAACAATTATAAATTTGGGGGGGTCTAATAAGACAATCTGATTTTAGGTACCTTTTGATTTCTAGTAGTGGGGGAGTAATAATTAAAGACTAAAGAAAAACTAAAAGCCCCAGGGCATGCTCCTTTCTGGTATGACTTGCTGTATTATCCTGAGTTTATCCTTGCTTTAATAACGTAATTATAGGCTGAGGAGATCTTGAGGTCATCTAGTACATCCCTGGGTCTCCAAGGAAAATCCTGTTCTAGGAATGAACTGGTTCAGACCCCTTTCACAAGCCACTACAGTGTCAGACCAGTTGGAAACCGAACCTTGCCAGATTTAAATATCTTGGCAAACTCTTGGTCTTGTGTGAGTGGTGCAAAGGTATTTCTATGATAGATTAGTCATAGCAGAGCTATGTGAATAACTTAATTTCAGAAGTAAGCTGTTGAGGTACAAACCATCCCTCTTAAGGCTTTTTATGGATGACTTAAAAAAACCCAAGGACCTATGCAGTCACAAAATTTTAGATCCTGAAGATCTAGTCCAATTCATTTTTCAGATGAGGAAGCGGTCCTGGAGGATGACTAAAAGTCAAATTCTGCTTGTGAATTATTACATTTATACATTTCTAGTAGTGAGCATACTGTTGTTAATTAAGGTCAGATGAAGGTGAACTTTATGGTAGTTAAGTACTTGCTCAGATTGTTACGGAACACCATTATTGCTATGAACCCTTTGCTAAGGGACAGTTCTTGGTTTAATTGTAGACATAAAAATTGATGTCAATACTATGTTAAGAGCGGTATTTAGTCAGTGCTGAAAAACCATCTGTCTCTTTTATAATTTAGAAAAGCATTTTCTTTAATGTATTATGTTCTTTTTCCTTTATTGGAGTGGATTTGTGTTGTTTTTCTAAAGTTTCTGACATGTAACTACAGCCCCAGAATCAGAGCAGCATATCTTATAACAATAACTTCAAGAAATATAAGTATTTTAGTGAATGCAATGATACATAAGGCCTTATACTTTGAAATTCTTCTTTACATCAAAAATGCTTCTATGCTCAGTACAAATGAAGACAGGTGGTCTTTCAAAATTTCCTAATTAGAGCTACGTTGTTTTGAATTTAAAATAATCTTTTAGTAGAAAAAGCATTGAGTTTAAGAACCAGAATTCTAGCCACTATCTGTAAGTCTTGGTAAGTCACTTAACCTCTGAAGCAGTTTGATCATCAGTAAAAGATAGAAAATACCCTCATTAAATAAGAAAATATATACACCAAAATATTTTTAAATATACAGTAATTATTTTATGAAGCCATGTAATCTTAAGAAAAGAACTTTTGTATAATCAGATTGAAAAGAATTATTGTAACAATTCTTTTACTAATAATTTATAAGCTAAGAGTGTTTAAGTTTCTGCATAGATTCCTAAATCACACGTCCACATACTCATACTTTGTGAGAAATTACTAATGTGAAGGGGTGTCGTTGTCCCATCCTTTCCCAGTCATTATCAGTTTTCAGTGGCATGTTTTTAGTCACTGAGAGTTATTTCTGATGTTCTGATGGTTGTATTCTTTAATGTTTAGAATATCTAAGTGCAGCGATGAGCAGCAACGAGTGTTTCAAATGTGGACGCTCTGGCCATTGGGCCCGAGAATGCCCTACTGGAGGAGGCCGTGGCCGAGGCATGCGGAGCCGTGGAAGAGGTGGTTTTACCTCAGCGAGAGGTATTTTTGTTGAAAAAAATTTTGAAATTTCAAAATATACAATTACCAAGGTTGGTCTAATCTCCCAACTCTTTGTTTCCCTTCTGTAATAGGTTTCCAGTTTGTTTCTTCATCTCTTCCAGACATCTGTTACCGTTGTGGTGAGTCTGGTCATCTTGCCAAGGATTGTGATCTTCAGGAGGATGGTAAGTATTTAACACTTCCTTTTTCTTCCTTCTCTGCAGAGTGGTAAGCATAAAAGGAAGCCGTCTTAAAACTTTTGTGTAGCACATTGTATAAAATTCACCTTCAGTTTATCAAGGTTTTATAGTCTTGGTCTGCTTCTTTTCCTTATTGTTGAAGCCTGCTATAACTGCGGTAGAGGTGGCCACATTGCCAAGGACTGCAAGGAACCGAAGCGGGAGAGAGAGCAGTGCTGCTACAACTGTGGCAAACCCGGCCACTTGGCTCGCGACTGTGACCACGCAGATGAGCAGAAGTGCTATTCGTGTGGAGAGTTTGGGCACATTCAGAAAGATTGCACCAAAGTGAAATGCTATAGGTAAGGATAGCTGTGTAATCTTAAATTAGAAAAATAAGGACAGCAGCAGTGTCGTGAAATTATGACTGAGATTCCTGTACCTCAAAGGACTTCACGCAGTGTGGTTTTGTTTGTGACCAGGTGAGATTCTGACTTTGTCCTAAGAGTCCTCTTGTGGCATGTGAGCTGGACTTTGGGGCACAACAAAATACTCTATAGCTACATACAGTTTTCTCATTTTACAAGTAGAAAGGTCATCTAAGATGACAAAAATATCTCTAACTGGACTTTTATTTTGATGGGTACTATTTGTTAAGCACTTGATAGATCTTACAGCTATTTTCCTTAAAATATGGGGCAAAAGATTTGCTAGCTTAAGATCATCAGCACCTTTTTCTTAGCATCTGCTTTTGACAATGAGGAGAAAGTAAAATGGAGTACTCGGTTAGTGAGGCACAGTGTAGTTGTGTGCAAACCCTTGTTCTTTAGTTCTTCCTTCTCTTCGTTTAGAAAGCTAATTCTGAGAGTCATTCTCATCCCTCTTTAGGAATTTCTATATAACCATATTTCTCTCTTAACCTAGTTCACAAAATCTCTGTCTCTGTCTTTCTCCCCCCCCCCCCAATAGATGTACGACTACATGCCACCTACCTAAACTCAGGCTTTAATACCTTACACTGTACTGAGACTTTTGGGACACCCTAAGTATGGGTGGAGGGGTGTAGAACACTTGATTTTAGATCTGGAAGGGACTTTAAAGGCCATCAAGTTCAACTCCCTTATTTTATAGATGACAAATTTGAGGTAAGAATGTTTATATAGTGCTTCATTATTTAAAGCAATTTACACGTATTATTTATTTATGTTATCTTCCAACTCTGGGCAGTAGATGGTGTTATTATCCCCGTTTGACAGATGAGGAAGCTGAGGCAGAAGTGAAGTGACTTGCCCTGGGTCACATAGTAAATGTCTGAGACGGGATTTGAACTTAGGTCTCATTGGCTCCCAGACCCATTGCTCTCTATTCACAGCACCACCAGAGAGATGTGAATTTTCTGGGGTCAGATAAACTAGGGTCTGAGGGTAGGATCTGAACATCTTAAATCTTCCTGACTTCAAATGTAGCAGTGCCCTGTCCACTAAAGTTAAAGTATACTTCCCTCAGGTGATAATTATTTCCCATTTTGCGATGAAGAAACTAGGATCTGAGTTTGGTATTTGTCCGGTTACACAACTGAGAGATAATGGAGTCCTGGTTCAAACCCTAGTCTTTGACTTGTAAATCTAGTGTTATTTTTGGTATGACTATGCCTCTACTGGATGTGAGGAAGGCTTTTTTATTGGTTGAATTTTAGAGATTTTTGTTCATTTGTGCATGTGGTCAATCTTATTTGTAATTAATGTAGAATTAACATCTTGAGTCCCTCTTTTATCTAGAACTAGAAATTTGACCTACCTTAAATCAAGGGGGAAAATTTGGCCAATTTAACCAGTTTAGTGTCTTATCATTATGTGGATATGTTCTTTGGTAAAGGTAAATTCTTTTCCTAATCGTTGTTAAGTGATATATTTTGTTATGAAAATACTTTTTAAAAAGTTGCTTTGCCTTGTAAAGTTGAGTTGATAAATAGGTGGAACTTGATTTCTTTTAATTGGAAGTTTCATGGTTTTTATAGGTTAATAAAATAATAGGAAATTCCAAGTTTTTGGTATTTAGGGAGAGACATCCCAGTAGTATGTTCTTAAATCATGTGGTGGTACTTTGATTTCAGTCTTAAGGCAAATATCTTGTGGCTTAGATTGGCTGGAATGTTAACATGCAGTTGAATTAGGTCAGGGATCATAGGGCTTTATACTGAAGCATTTTGTAAAACTTGGAGCATTGGTGTCCAGGTGTTCAAGAATCATTTTTATAGAGTCTGGTCTGGTTTAACAACTCTGGTAGAGAATAAACCTAGTGATGGTGATTAGATACTGATAGATTATACAAGAGGTGAGAAACTGTCCAGATAACAAGAACTTAGATTTATTAATAAACAGTAAAAATGAGGACAAACTGAGGTGTTTGGTGTGTTTTAGTTATGTTCACAGTCAGTTCTGGGTTTTAATTGCAGCATGTTTCTTGTAGGAAGAAGGGAGCTGCTTCTCCATTCCAGCTCTTAACATAGATAGGCAATTAAATCGACAGAAAGCCTGTTTATGCAGGATTTAGTGTAGATGAAAACTAATAAAATTTTAGGTTGTAGCAGTGTTGTTAGTCCTCATCTGACAAAGGGATTGTGCTGCTACACTGTTGGCTCTATGTTCTTAAATTTAGGTTTTTCTCAGTTCTGACTTGTTTCTTAAGTGAATGTATTGCGTGTGTTAGTTTTGCTAACTTAAAAATATCTTTACAAATGTTGCTGTGTCATTTTGTGTGACTGTATCAGAAGAGAAACTCCTTCCTCTACTTTGTCACAATATGTACCGTTAGAATTAAATATACACAGAAGTATGACAAAATTTGGACCAGTCGTGTGGAGTTGATTTTGGTTGCTGTCAGAGTGAACTTTGAATGAACTAGGTATCAAAGTTTGAATAGAATAATAGCGCAAAACATTCCCATCCTTATCATTAAGTTTCCTCCCCTTAGTTGCTTGATTAGTATGATCTTGTCTTGTCTCAAAGAACTAGTAGAGTTGTCTGGGGCACTAAACATCATAGCTTTAATTTTGTGCAATGGCTAATGATTAGGTAGACAATTTCACATTTTCTGAGCACCAATGTGAAAACTTTTTAATTTCTTTTTTTAGGTGTGGTGAAACTGGTCATGTAGCCATCAACTGCAGCAAGACAAGTGAAGTCAACTGTTATCGCTGTGGCGAGTCAGGGCATCTTGCACGGGAATGCACAATTGAGGCTACAGCTTAATTATTTTCCTTTGTCGCCCCTCCTTTTTCTGATTGATGGTTGTATTATTTTCTCTGAATCCTCTTCACTGGCCAAAGGTTGGCAGATAGAGGCTACTCCCAGGCCAGTGAGCTTTACTTGCCGTGTAAAAGGAGGAAAGGGGTGGAAAAATCGACTTTCTGCATTTAACTACAAAAAAATGTTTATGTTTAGTTTGGTAGAGGTGTTATGTATAATGCTTTGTTAAAGAACCCCCTTTCCGCGCCACTGGTGAATAGGGATTAACGAATGGGAAGAGTTGAGTCAGACTAGGAAACCCTTTCTGGGTTTCTTGATTGCGATCCCATGCAGGAGGTAAAACAGATTGTGGAAGTGTCTTTGAACTTCCATAAGTAACTTTAATTGTAGTATAATGATGGCCTTGGATTGTCTGACCTCAGTAGCTGTTAAATAACATCGAGTAACATCTGTATCAGGCCCTACATAGAGCATCTAGTCGAGTGGGAGTAAAAAGATGTATATGCCTGTTAATGGCCATGAGAGAGAGAGAAATCAGGATAAAAACCTAAACAGTAACAACTCCGTCGCAATGTGAATGCTGGAGATACAGATGGTGAAGGCAAGGTTTGGAATAAATTTTTCAAAAACTAAATCTAAAACCCAGAGTAAACATCAATGCTCAGAGCAAGCATAATTTGGAGCTATTCAGGAGTTGCAGAGAAATGCATTTTCACAGAAATCAAGATGTTATTTTTGTATACTATATCACTTAGACAACTGTTGAGTTTCATTTGCTGTAATCAGTTTTTAAAAGTCAGATGGTAAAAGCAACTGAAGTCCTAGAACATAGAAATGTAATTTTAAACTATCAATAAAGCTGGAGGAGGAAGGGGAGTTTGACTAAAGTTCCTTTTGTTTATTTCAAATTTTCATTAATGTACATAGTGCAAAATGCCATATTAAAGAGGGGACTGTGGAGGATTGAAAAGCTGACAGTTTGGACTTTTCTTTTTGTACTAACTCAATCATGTCTTCAGTGGTTAAAGTTAGCAATTAAAACATGGAAAGGCATGGGGTTAAGATTTGTCAGATTATTTTGCAAAAGAATAGAGAATGTTTAAAGCTTTGGTTTTTATCATCCATTTACATATTCATAATAGCAGTTTCTTAGGTTTTACAAATATTTCTTAGTGATCTCAACACAGTTGCTTCTATTTAGCCATATACATTCATTGGTCTTTATGTAGATCTGAAATACTGTACCTCCACAATATAAGAGCTGGAAAGAACCTTTAAAAAGTTTCCCTCAGTGATTTTCCCCAAGGTCAGCCCAGTGAGGGTAGGGGCAGAGCTGCAGTCAAGTCCAGGTCTCCTGGTACTGCCATGAACTCAACTATCATACTGCAGCTCCACTATGGATATAGTTAGAGGTTCATGCAAATGTTTAAATAAGTGCCTATTATAAACAAGGCACTGGGCTTAGCCTCTTGGATACAAAAATAAAAGGGAAAGCATTCCCTACCCCCAAGAAAGTTAATCTGCTTTTGCCTTCTGATTGGGGGTTTAAATATGCTCCCCCTATCAGTTATTCACTTCACGCAAATTTTGAAGGGTTGAGGTCTTGGTGCCTGCTTCATCTTAGGGGAGGGGGTCCATAGTAGTGTGGATATTCCAACTTTGTGTTGAGTTGAGAGTTTCAGAGACTATTAGGCCACCATGACTTGGCCAAAAGGAAAGGAAAACATGGTTATAAATACTACATTTCCCAGGGTGTTGAATGGATGCTAAAGTAATATTTAAATGAAAAGCAGTAATTATTTTAGTAAGAACTACTGCAGGTTAGTCAACTTAGGGGTATTAACACTAATGAAAAACAACAATGACAAATCTTTTACACTTGTAGGAAGCAATGTGAAAGTTTAGTGGACACCTCAAGACAGTTCTGCTATTTAGTAAATCAAAAAAAGATTATTTTTCCAATCTTATAGAATCACTGGATACTGCTTGCCAACAAAACACAAACACTATGTAAAATGCAAGGTGACAAAATTGTGGCCTACTTGGGCCAATGTTAACTTTTACTCTCGAAATATATTAGCCTAAGCCTTTTTCAGGATAAGCCTTAGTTGTTTTTTCAGTGTAAAACAGCTTGATGAATCAACTTTAGCCCAGCTTTGTGGCCGGTGAAGAGTCTTGAGGCTATGTTGCTTACATATAGGATAGAAAGGCATATATGCCAAGATTGGGAGCAGGAGGCTTTGTGAGCTGGACGTTGGGAAGGCAAAAGGGAATTTTGGTCTTAGAGCTGTTGCATTCACTCATCCATCTTTACATTGGTGGTGCCTGGGAACTTTGTGTATGGAGAACTTCACAAGAACCTGTTCTTACCAGAACACAAAGTGTTCCCTTCTATTCTACATTCCATTTTTGCTTTAAGTTTACCTTGCTTTCATGTAGCCTGAACACATTAAACATGGAAATGTTCCTTTTGGAAAGAATCTAATTGAGGGTGCTGATGCACTATTTGTGTACGGATTGGTGTGTGTGTGTAAACGCTTTCCTGTGAAACAGTATTAATATACTATGCCTGAGTAATTGGGTGTGTGAACATCAGTGTGGAATGATGCCATGGAACGGATGAAGGCACTGTCCAGCCTGTATAGGAACTACTGTTAGATCTAAAATTTTTGTTGATGTATGTATGAATGGTGTTTTATAAATGTGTGGTCTGTGTTGGGGAGAGTGACTTTTCCCTTTGGATCAGCAGGGTTATCTAACTGGAAATTGATTCCTCCCGCCAGAGGAGAGACATAAACACAAGAAAGCCAATACTTTACGTTTAACCTTTAAGACGTGTTCTAAGGAGTTTTCAGAAGCACTTTAGTGTACCTTTTTTGTCCTTCCTTAGCTTAATACAGTTATTAGGGGAACTATTAAATGCTGTTTTCTCTTCCCTCCTCTCTTCATGCCATTTATCTTTTCTTCTCTTTGTGGATTATTAAAAATAAAGTCAGACCTGAGTCAATGGGTTGTTTAGGGAACCAGAGCCAGGAGTATAAAATCCCAAATAACCAGTGTTTTCTATTACACTATTTTCTTCCTTGGCCTTTTTGATTGAATAATGTTTCTCTTCATATTAATGATTTTTAGTCATTCTTACTCTTAACACTACACTGTCATGTCATGGTAACGTTTATTTACTTGTTTAATTGGAGAGAAGTGATTACTCATTGTAGTGCCTGAAGAGAAACTTTGGATGACAGATATTCACAGCTAAGTCAAACTTCATTGAAGTGTAATCTTGTCACATCAATGCCTTAATGCAAGTGACCCACGTGTTCCTAGATGTCACTTTGCATGGGCTTGCTAGAAGTGTGGAGCACTGTTCTTCCACTAACTTAGCAAGTTTGTATTCTATTTTGAGGAAAGATTAAACCTTAAGTTGTACTTATTAAATAGTACTATTGAATAAAATTGTTGCTGAACATTACTGAAGAATTTGAGGGGAAAAGAGTTTAATAGAAACATTCGATGTAGTAAGTCATTTCCCTCGTTTGTATGCAGTTCTTGGGGGGAAAGCCAGTCTACTCTTGCCCAATATCATCAAGGAGGTGGAAGGAAGAAGTAGTTAGTAGTGTCTGTTAGTGGTTAGGGTAATTAGCTGACATCATGATGCAATTCTGTGTTTTCTGGCACTTAGGAATTATTTTCCTGGTAGTAGTAACTTGGCTTGTGTTGGGCCACCTATTGAAGTGGAGGCATGCACACAAGAGAAGTGCCTGGGGGTTAAAGATGCTGATTATCAAACAGTTGCTCTTTGAAGTTAAGGGGATCTGGAAAGGTCAACCTCTGACCATACTCTTTACCAATTGAGTATTACTTTCAACCCAGGTATGCCCAGCAAGGAAACTACCTTATGTTAACATTTTGCTATGAAGTGCCATTCATCTTCCATGATGCCAGCATTTTTTTCTTAAATAAAATTTTAATAATAAAATGACCTGTTAATTTAATCAGTCTGTGTATTCTTGTTTTGAGTTTTTTTTTTTAATTGAAAAGATTCCCCCTTTCTCTTCCTCTGTATTAGGTGGTAGGTCAAGAACTTCACTCCTGCCCCAAAGAATTAATGTGACCTTCAGCAACGAAAGGCTTCGGTGATGGAATTAACTTACTGACTGACGAATTGGTTACATCTAAGGCAAATAATGCACCAAGGACTCATGATAGGTTTGTGCTTTCAGGAATCCAACTCAGCATTAGAAAATGACCTGTTCTCTGGATCAGCAGAGTACTTCAATTTGACACCTTTCAAAGCATATCCACTTAAAGTTTTAAAAATATAGGGGTTTGGATCAGATAATTTTTTGGAAATGATACTTGGCTTGGGGGATCTCTGATTACAGGTGTGCTGGCAATTTTAATTAAAATACAAATATGTCATGAAAGGCATTAACGTTTTGAAACTTAATGGAGTGCCAGAATAGTTCATATTTATATCTCCCTCTTCTCCCTGTTTTGGGGAGAGGTATAGAATATATCTTCTTCTCTGGCTGCCTTTTCCTTTTGACTCCCCAGTTGCTTTGTAACTATTCCTTAAGCCATCTATTCCTACTCTTTACTGGCCTGGTTCTGTCTGGTAGAGTTCTCTGCTTAGCTGAGTATTTTGCAAATTTTTGCCCATCCCTGGCATTGCCTAGCCTACCCTAAGCAGTTTTTCACATTACTTGCAGAATGTGGCTACTCTGAACATTGTCATTCCACGATGAGACAAAAAAACTGATACACTTTGTTTTGAGAAAATTAAGTTATCCAAAGACTCTGAGAAGTCCCAAGACATGGTTAATGAGTTTTAAAGATGTGATGGTAAATATAAGGCAAATGTTAGCTTTCTAATTATAAAATGCTCCTGTGCTACGGATAGAAATAAAATTTAAACTTAGCATTGAGAATTTTTTCTTAACTCAGAATGCCCTGTGCGTATTAGGAGTATTCTGAGTTGCCCTTAAAAATAGACCAGAGCTGAAAGAAGTCAGTTAAGTTTCATATGAACATTTCCTATCCCAAGAAGATGTTTTAAAATGGGTGTTTTTGTTTTTTGGATCCATGTACATAGACATGATGAAAAATCCTGTTTATCTCAGGCTTGTGCTATATCCAAAGAAATGGCCCCTTAATAACTTTATTTAAAAATGTAACTGAAAAATGCAACACCCCTGTGACTATTTAGAAAATTACTTTAATTTTAAAATTATTCAAATGCTATAATGAGACTCATGTAAAAGCTTTGTGGTAACCGGGATTGAATAGGAACTTAATGGCACGTTAACGGTTGTATTTCTTTAATTGAAATTTGGCTACAGGGAAGATAAGAGTAAAAGGTTATGTCCACTTCTTAGTCTGGGTGGATTAGGCCATTCCTATTTTGTTGCTACAGGACGTTTCTTGGAAAGTTTTGTTGTAAGATCGTGGAACCAGTTCTATTGGCAGCAAATAGACATAACAGTATATCCTCAAAATAAAGCTAAAGTCATGGTCATCTGCTCTAGAGATGTAACTTCTAGGCCCTGAAAAAGATTTAGAAAACAATTTAAGATTTTGTAACAACATAAAGATACTAATATGCTCCAGTGCCTAAAGAGTGTAAACAAGCACGGACTACATTGATTATCCAGAGGACCTAAATAGAGATTCAGTGTGCATCAGTGCTTCGTTTGCTGTTGCCAACGTAAGATTAACATTTAGTTTTCCTTGCTATGGAAATTGGAAGATCCTTTTGAAAGGTACTTGCATGGCCCTGGAAGTTTTAGCTGATGCATTTCACTAAGTGGATGGCCTTTTTATGGAAACAGTGAAAATCACTCCATTGACTAAATAGTTTACTTCAAATTGCTTATTAAATATTTTTGATAGTATTTCTTCCACGAATTTTCAGAATTAAGGGCTGATTCAGTATTTCTTTGGTTCTGTTAGCCAAAACCAAAGTCAGTACCAGTGAATGCTCTTACATGTTCTTGTGCTATTCTGCTACACCTAACTCTGTAACAGCTTTCTGGGGAAGTCTGCAGAAAAGAGTTTTGGTGTAGACAGTTTTGTATTCTATACAGATAATGTGCTTTGTCCTGTTAATTCTCTCGAATAGAAACCAAAAGTTCTGTCCCTTCCTGCCCCAAATTAATCCATCCTAAAACTACTCCAATCCTATTATTTCTCTGATAGGGAAATAGTCCCAGAATGGTTAATTGATCTGTTTGTTTTAGGTCTTTGGGGTGTTAGAGCCCTGTGGACTAGAAAAGATTGGCATTCTGTCAGTTTTTTGCATTCTGTTCTTATATGGTATTTACAAATGAGAAGACTAGGTAATTAAGCCTGAAATTTGTTAAAACCTAGTAGGAAAGTTAATAGATTTTGAGAAAATTACTTTTACTTCAGTTCTATAAACAACAGGTGATAACCAAACATTTCCTTCAGTTGTGACCTGTTCGTTACAAAGGAATTTTAAAAAGAATTGTTACACATCTTGGACCATGGACTGTCTGGGACAAAGAGCTAACATTTATCTCATATAAGAACTTCACTCTTTATAGTCCATGTGTTGTGACTTTCGACCTGAAGGAGATAGTGCTGTAGAAATGAAGGTTTATGTGTTTGCAGGGCCCTATTTTCTTAAGTATGCCAAAAGTGTCAGTCAGTGTATGTTTTTGCTTTTTTTCCCCCCCAAACACATATAAATAACAACTAGGTATTAATTATTGGACATGGGTCCCCAAGGGAGACAATACTGGTATATTACATTAGATGGGAGTGAGTTAGCCTCAATATTTAGCAACTTAACTGACATACATTACAAATAAATTTTTTGGTTAGAAAAGTTTCCCAATCAAAAGGACTCTTCCCCCCTCCAAAAAAAAAAAAAGTGAACCTCCATGATGATACTTTTAGTAGTATCCATTGGTTGAGAAAATACTTCTGACACTACAGTGCCTCAGTGGAACTATAATATCTTTGATTGGGGTGTGCAATCTATTGATGCTTTCTCATCCTGTGCACCATTAGTCCATGCCTTCCTTTCAGTCCTCCGCAGGAGGTCCACCATGTTCTGGAGACTAAATTTAGACAGATGGGTCTCATTGCTACATGGCTGTTGATTGCTGTTATGACTGACTCGTCCCTTTTCTGGTCATACATCTCTTGATGCTTGGTTTGTGTGTATGGTGTGTCCTTGGTCACATTACGCAGCCTGTTCAGGAAAGGCCACCAAGCGTTTCTCTAGTGCCCTTTGGGTGACCAGTAATTGATTCCTCAGGGATTGTGGTATTCCATTATTTACATGCAATAGCATCACCAGAAGAAAGAACATTCGTGTTTGTTTGTTTTGCTTTTTAAGGGAGATTTTGTATAAAGGAGATAAGGTTGTGAAAGTACTGTCCATTTTCCAAAAGGCAAACAAGTGCCTTCTTTGTTCTTTTCAGTTCTGAGCCCAGCTCATTGTCCATCTGTAGTTCTATCAATGGAGCAGCTGTGTGGGTTATCCATCTGACTGCATGTCATAGATGGAATATGTCATCTACGTGGTTTGTCCTGTATGGATAGTTAGGCCAAATGTGAGGGTGATTCTACATCTCATTTAACAAAGTGCAAATGTTATCTCTCTGCAGATAGGATGCATCCTTGGTGAGGGATTGGCAGGCTTGGTGAATATACATTTTTCGGTTTTATGCCTGACTTGTTGATAAGTTACTTCTGGCAAGGAATCTTGTATGGTCTTACCACATACACGCAGGGCACGTAGGTAGAGGTTATAAGATGGCTGTTCTACCAAATAAAATGCCACCTCAGTGAATTGTATGACTGAAGATGTTGTCTCTGCTAGAGCATGACTTAATGAAAGCCTGCCTGTTGTGATGGTCTCATCAAGAGTGATGTGTGCATGTATTATCTCAAAAGATTTGGAGAGACAAGAAAGACCTACAGATTGGTTATTGACATTTTCACAATCTCTTTTTAGTCGTCATCCATGTTTGTTGTTTATTTTTTTGATTAATCATTCAGTGTTTTTCCCTCCTTGAGTTGTCTTGAATGTCAGTATCCTTGTACCCTGATCATTGTACAAGTTGCCTTTAGCACAGATGTCGTCTGTGTATATTGGCTTTTGTTAGGTTATTTTTATATCTATCAACCTTCCAAATGTCATTCCTTAACTGTTGATGGAACTGTCTGGCTTAAGTGGTTCTCACCAGACTTTCTTTAAACCAGTTTTTCACTATTGCCTCTCATTGGTGTCTGTGGTGATACTCTTCATCATCCTCCAGCACAAGATTTTATGGATGGGTTTGTACTTATAAACTGGCTTGGCCCTTGGCTGCCATATTTCATTTGGCAAAGAGGGTCAAGTATTTGCTGGCTGAGGCAGTTTTAAGCTCAGCAACTTTTTAAGTTGCTTATTCCACTTCTATAGAAGATGGTGCTGGTCTGTGTTGACATATATTCCCTTATTTACCCCTTTTCCAGCATCAATAGATTATTTAAGTAGATTGGATTAGAGTTTTTTTATTTGTATAAGTATTTTCTCATTTTTTTTATTTGCTGCCTTTTGATAATTTTTGACAGTCTTTCCTATGCTCACTTTTGCATTGAAATCAAATAGCTATACATTTGTTTAATTTGGAGTGTCTTAAATTCATATAATTTCCTACCATATCCTTTTAAACTAATGTTGTATAAGTTGCTTTTTCCTTGTTCATCATGAGCTTTATACAGTGAGATGACCAAGTAATCCCAGTAAACTGTTTCTTGTTTTCAGATGAATTATGAAACTATCTCTGCAAGTTTTTTTTTAATCTTATAGTTTTAGTTCCTAGTTTTATTTATAGCAAGACTTGCAATATTGATGTGATTTTTTTCATTTTTTCCACATGACATGCTGATTAGGTAATTGGACCAGTGTACTATTTTTACGAATATCAGCAGTTAAATTGATGTCTGTAGATGGTCTTTGTGATTCCTAACACTCTTTGTTCCTTTTCCCACCACTCTGTTAATGCCACTGAAGGAGCAAAGAAGGGCTGAAGCATTGAGGGTCTCTTTGTATTTTTACATGGTGGAACCTACTAGAGCTCACTTGCCACTGCCTTTGAGAACTGTGTTTGCCTTAGGCTGTTGTGAAGCATCATAGTAGGACATTAGTGGGAAAATACATGATCGTTAAAGGTTTCTATGAATCCAATAACACTTTCAGAATTAATTTGCATTTTATTAATCGACAATAACATCTGTAAGTTTGATAAATAATTAGTAACTGATTGTAAAAGATCCGTATGTTCATTATACAGAAGATGTGTTTGCTGCTTATACTGGTCACCCACATATTTTATTGGAAATAAAGATGAAAGTGACAATGATTGGTGTCTCGTGGATTCTCAAACCCCTTTCAACAAACAGTCCCACTGGACTCCAAGGATCCCAGGCACAGAAACGAGAAAAAGTTTTTGGAGTGACCAATGAAAAATGTTACTTGCCAAACAAAATTGGAACTTTAAAACATCTCAGAATCTGAATGAGACCATAAGAGAACACTTTAGGATTTGCATAGAGTACTGCTAATTAAGAACAGCTTGTAGAAGGAAATACATTTAGTTTGTGAAAATGCAAAACCCCCCAAAATGATTCACTAAAACCCACCTAATACTTTTTTTCTCCCATCTAATACTTTGACCCAATTAACCCCTCTGTCATCTTCATTTTTACCACTTTGCATAGTTCTTTCTCTCACTACTTTCAAACTCTCTTGGGCCTTTCCAGTCATTATACATAAGGACTAGCTTCACCTTTAATCCCCACTAGCTATGGCCATATCCTCAGCTAAACTTGAAAAAGTCATCTGTTTGGTGCTTCCACTTAACTACTGTCTTTTCTAAACTCTGCAATTATGCTTCAGATCTCATCACAATGAAAACAAATCTGTCAAAGGGCAGTGATACTTTAGTTCCAAAATCCAGTGGCCTTTTTCACTTCTCATCCTTGAGCTTTGTGCAGCATTTGACACTGTTGACGACCTCCTGAATATTCTCCCTCTGAGATTTCATCTCACTATTCTCTTTTGGTTCTAGCTGAATGGGTCTCCTTTACTATATCATTTTCATCCGTATCATGTCCCCCAACTCTGAGGATTCCTCAGAGCTCTGGTCTGGACCCTTTTTAATGATCTCTAGCTTAATATGGGCTGAGTTATCTTCATACAGATAACTTATGTATTCAACCATAGTCTCAATTCTAGTTCCGTGTCACTAACTGCCTCATGGGACATTTTAAATGCAGTGTGTCCAGAGCAACTTATCCATTCTCCAAAAATTTTCCCATCATTAAGTGACCTTTAGTTGTTTAGGTTCATAACTCTGAACCTTCAGTTTTTCACTGTATCCAGTGAGTTGTCAAATCTTTACTTTTGTCTCCACGGTCTCTCCGTTATAATATCCCCTTGTTTCTGTTTGTATATCCTAAACCAGGCCCCTGGACTGCTGTAGCTTGCCAGTCCAAAAGGCTGCTAAAATGATTTTCTTCATGTCCAAATCTCATCCATGTCACTACCATCCTCACCCCCTTATTCAATAAACTCCAGTGCCTGTGTTTTAGATACAGGATCAAATCCTTAAATCCTCTGGTAGTTAAAACCACCACCTGGCTCCTCTCAGACATCATTTGCCTTCATACATTATGGTGCTGAACCAGACAGTCATTGCCCATCTTGGTGCTTGTCCCAATGTCTGGAACACTCGAATTCACCCCCACTTCTTAGAATGTCTGGTTTCCTTCAAAAAGCTCAACTCAAACATGACCTTTTTAAATTTACTTTTAGTTTTCAACATTCACTTGTAAGATTTGAGTTCCAAAATTTCCCCCCTCTCCAAGACAACATGCAGTCTGATAAATGTTAATAACAGATGTACAATCATTGAACGTGTTTCCACATTAGTCGTGTTGCGGAAGAAAAATCAGAACAAAAGATGGAAACTGAATGCTTCAATTTTCTATCAGACTCTCGTTCTTTCTCTGGATGTGGATGGCATTTTTTATCACAAATCTTCTGGAATTGTCTTAGATCATTATTATATTGCTGAGAAGAGCCAAGTCTGTCACAGTTGGTCATTGCACAATGTGGCTGTTACTGTGTACAGTGTCCTAGTTCTGCTCACTTCACTGAGCATCAGTTCATATAAGTCTTTCCAGGTTTTTCTTTTTTTCTTTTATTAATTTATTTTGATTTATCAGTAACCACTTCCATATTCTTTTGAGTTGAAAATTTTTCTCCCCCTTCCCTCCCCCTCCCCAAGACGGTGCACAATCTGATTTACATTTACATTCCTATTAAACGTATTTTCACATTAGTGAAGATGTAAGTAAAAATTAAAACCAATAGGAGGAACCATCAGAAAGACGAAACGAAACAGAAGAGAAAAAAATTAGCAATTCAACTTTCCTAGTTCTTTCTTTGGATGTGGGTAGCATTTTCTATCACGAGGCCTCTGGAGATGTCTTAGATCCTTGTAATGCTGTGAAGGGTTCAGTTTAACAATATTAGTCATCGCATAACGTGGCTGTTATTGTGTACAAAGTTCTCTTGGTTCTGCTCGCTTCACTCAGCATCAGACCATATAAGTCTTTCCAGGTTTTTCTGAAGTCAACCTGTTCATCATTTCTTACAGCACAATAGTATTCCATTATGTTCATATACCACAACTTGCTCAGCCATTCCCCAGTTGATGGGCATCCTCTCAATTTCCAATTCTTTGCCACCACAAAAAGAGCTGCTATGAATATTTTTGTACATGTGGGTCCTTTTCCCTTTTTTTTATGGTCTCTTTGGGATACAGACCTAGTAGTGGGATTGCTGAATCAAAGGGTATGCACCGTTATAGCCCTTTGGGCATAGTTCAAAATTGCTCTCCAGAATAGTTGGATCAGTTCACAACTCCACCAACAATGCATTAGTGTTCCAATTTTCTCAAACACTACAGGACGCCTTTTCCCATTTCCCCTGCTACTTGTGCTTTTTCCACCTAAAGTTACTTTATTTAGTACATGCTTATTTGCATACATGTTGACTCCCCCACTGAAATGCAAGCTCCTTAAGGGAAGGGACCTTTTAAATTTGTATCTTCAAGGTATAGCAGCATATTTGGCCATTCAAGTAATCCCTTTCTTAAGAACAGGGTGTATTTCAATGAAATTCTTTTTTTTTTTTTTTTGGCAGGGGGAAGGAGGTGGGTGGTGGAAATGTCATTGCCAGATAAATTATTAAGTCCACTCCAGAATGTTAACTAAAAAAACCTTTAAAACTAACTAAAATAACTTTATATGCAGGCAGGAAAACATATTTGACGGTTGGGGTGGAGGGAGTGCGCATGGTGCTTGGTAGAAGGCTGCGCCTACTTTGAAAACCTGTACAAATGCAGAAGTCCTAGAAGAAACTGATACTGCGTGAGGAAAACTGGACATGTGCTTCCCTGTACCCTGAAACATGGGAGTAAGAGGCTAAGAAAGACTAATAAACACTAAGCTCCAGTTATTTATACTGCTTTAGGCAGGGGAGGCGTGCAAAGATGAATTAAAACATATTTGCCCGTGTCATCGACAAGCTTATGTGTCCTGTGGAAATGAGAGGTACAAGATTAAGGGACAAAAGTGTGTACAAGGGCCCCTAAGTGGCGTAGTGGATAGAGCCCCCGCCTTGGAGTCAAGAGGCCCTGAGCTCAAATGCGGCCTCAGTCACATAACACTAGCTGTGTGACCCTGGGCAAGTCACTTAACCCTCATTGCTCAACCCCCCCCAAAATAATGTGTAGAAAAGGTACAAAGTTCTAGTATTCAAAGCTCCTTGTTCCTGCATTTCAACAAATCAATAGATTTGGATCCTGTGTGGATTTAGGGCTGGAAGGAACCTCAAAGTTCATCTAGTACAACAACTTATTTTACAGGTGATACATCCCCATTGGCTCTGCGACTTGCCCCCAAATCACACCAGGTAGTAGATGGAAAAAATTGGAGTTGGAGCACATTGACTCTAAAACCACTGTTCTTTGTGTTTAGCTTCAGAGCTTTTCTTTAAAAAAGGAATCTTAAAATACCATCTACAAGATCATTTAGTCTTTTTGCAAGATCTCAGATAGCCAGCTAGATTCCCCTTGATGATGCCCAAAGATAACCTCTGCCTTTCAACCTGTTGCATCTGGGCCAGCTCTAAATTATTAGGAAGATTTCCTTTTGAGCCATAATTTGTTTCTGTGTAAATCAAGACTAGTGTGATCTTGGGCCTTCCAGCAAATATCTTCCCCACCTCAATTTAATGGAGCAAAGCTTTTCATAAACAAATGAGATAAAAGGGTCTAAAATAGAATTGTGGTTCACTTAGCACTTTTACATGAAAGTGTATCAGTCAAAAAGAAGTACACGTGACAAGTTCATTTCTTATTTAGTTAGAGGATACAGTGGTCTGAAGAAGAGGAAGGAGCCCCCTTTGAAAGAGGAGAAGGTTGTGAGAAAAGGGAGCCTAAAATTTTGTCCATATTCACAGCCTTCCCATTTAACATCAATTGTGGGAAGACGTTAGAAGCTGTGCCTGTTTGTCATGAGAGGCTGTACTAGTACACAGCCTAGCAGGTCATAGCAGTTTAGTGTTAGCATTGTAACACTTCCATGATTTATGGGCATTCATTTTTCTGTTTGTTCTCAAGACCAGTTTCTTATAAAGCAGCAAATTATCGCCATAATTAATATTTGACCATAAAAGCAGAACTTTAGGGGCAGCTAGGTGGCGAAGTGGATAGAACACTGGGCCTGGAAGCAGGAAGACCTGAGCTTAAATCAGACTAACTGTGTGACCCTGGTTAAGTTAACTATGTTTGCCTCAGTTTCCTCATCTGGAAAATGAGTTGGAGAGGGAAATGGCAAATTCCTCGAGTGGCTTTGCCAAGAAAACCCCAAATGGGGTTACAACTGAACAAATAGAGCTTTAGGTGGCAAATAGACCATTTTAGCAAATTTGTGTTGATCTGCGAGGTAAACTATCCCAACAGCTTCCTAATCAGCCATATTCTGCATCTGCTCACTCCCTTCTCCAGTCCATTCTGGCCGTACTGTTGGATTGCTTCCTGAAGTACAGTTCTGATAATGTCACTACCCAGATCAAAAATTTTTCTTCATTTCCCACTACCCAGAAGAGAAAATTGAAAACACTCAGCCTCCATCATTTGGCCTCAGTCTGCCTTTTATCTCATAACACTTGCTCAATCCTAATTTCCAACCAAACTGCTCTCTGAATATGACTTGCATTTTCCAGAGCCAGTTTTTAACTTAATATGGAATATTCTGCCCTTTCCCTTTACCTGCCAAAACCAAACTATTA